CTCGACTCCTATTTAAGACGATACTTTAGGATCTACGACTTCATCACTGCTTGTCCCTGAGTCATTGGGAAGTCTTGAGGCAGGTGTGGTGTTATGGGATGACACGGACATAACAATTTCGCGACGCCGGCGAGACTCTTCCAGCGCTGCGTATAAAACGAAGCATCGCTCCGACAGCAACTCGAAATACTGCGTCATGTCCTTTGCAGTGTTATATATCGCGTTCTCCAACTTTCTTGCATATTCTATCACGCTTGCCATTCGTGGGTCGCTGTCAGCAGCTGGATTTACCTGCAGACCAAAAATATACCTCAATCTAAAAACACAGTTGAACCATAACTTGGCACTTACATTCTACGGACAACGTGGTCTCGGTGCTCTTGATCGAAACTAGCTCGCCAGTCTGTCTGATCGGTACTACCACTGCCCTGAGACATACTAGACGCAGTGGTAGTGGGGGTGGACAATGGAGCACTATGTCCGACATCCCGGCAAGTTGGAGAGGAGCGTAGAGCAGCAGATAGGGTGATGGCGACCTTGTTCGCTTTATTACCTTTGGATGAACCAGACTGCCTCTGTAAAGGAGCTTTAGGGGCGGCTTGCGAGTGGGGAAGTTGGACATACGAAGGTGGCATAGACCCCTGCCCCGATGGTGCGGAGGGAGGATTAACAGTATTAAATGGCTGGGCAGGTGCCTTGTTGACCTCAGAATACGCGTCCAGGCTCTGGTAGGACTGACCAGTTATATCACCACAACCTTCAGCTGGAGTTGCCCTAGGACTGCTCTTACATTCCGTCGGCTGGGAACTTCTTGGGGAACATTTGGCGACCGTAACAGGATCGCAGATCTCTGATATGCCCAACGCGGCATCTTGACTCTGATTCGTCGAACTTTGTTGTGAGGGTTGGGGAGGATTTCCACTAGACTGTTGTTGTAAATGAGAATGTTCATCAGAGTCTGAGCAAATGCCACTTGGTTCTGTTTCTGTATTTGTGTCTGTAGTGTCGGTCTTTTTGGACAAGTCCATGAATCCGTCTTGATCCACTAATGACATCGCAAAATAAGCATTTAATCAAAGCAGTACGTAGCCTTATTCAGCAATATGCACAACAAGAGGGACATTAACATGAATTGCACACAAATTAATTCA